CATGCTGGTATGGACCCGGATTTGTGGCCTCTAGCTGTAAAGTACTTTGAGTTCGCATACTCGGTCAACACGATATCACATGCTAGTATTGATCCTCCTGTTACTTGTTTTGAAGCTTTTCACGGGTACCCTTACGAAGGTTACTTGATACCGTTTGGGTCGTTGGTTTGGTTTCGGGAACCGGGTGGGAAAAGTTTTGAACCAAAGGGTCACCCTGCCTTGTATCTTGGAGCTGAGCTCATAAATGGAATGAAATACAAAGGAAACCATCGGGTTTGGCCGTTGGACTACTGCTTGAAAGGTGTTCTGAGGGAATATGTTGTAAGAACTCTTGCGTTTCCAAACGGAAAATGGCAGTTCCCACTGAAAACACCGGAGTCGCCCAAAGAGTCGATTCACGTTCAAGAACTTGAGCCTCCTGCTGACTTGGAGGAAATCCTTCAGGTTGAAGAGGAGAAGGACAGGGATCATCGTGGGAAGTCTGAACCTGGCACCCAAGGTGGCGAGTCCGCACCCAAGCCCAAAGACGATGACCTTGGCCCAAAGAAACGAAATAGAGCAATAACCGTTTTGCGAATCGGAGTCCATGGTCGCACGCGTCATTGCTTAGGATGTAGCGAAGGGACATACTCACACACCAAAGAGTGTAGGGACCGATTCAACAAATTGATCGACTTATGTGAGCCATTAGGCAAGGACAAAGATCACCCGCCAACTGCAGATGGAAGGGAGACGTCCGGCAAAATGGCCTCAGCGTCATGTTCTTCAGAACCTGCGCATGGCGCGGTAAAGGGGGGCGATGCATTGGAGGTGGGTGAGCTAAGTGATGGCGCGGAAAGCTGTGACTATGCGCCTACTTCACGAACAGCGTCACCACTTCCTTCATCAATAGGGGATCCTGATGACTTAGGTGACCCAAACGAATTTGAGCATGGCCACATGTTTGAAGGTACAGGGGCCATGATCGCTAGCGGTAAAAAGATATCAGATGTGATTCACACTTTTGAAAGGGGTTCAGATGTAGTTGCCTCCATCTTCTTTGATGCGCTGGAGAAAGGGGGGGTGAACGAGGAGTCTCTTTCAATGAAACTGGCAAAAGCCATGGCAGCCGCCCCTAAACCAAAGGTCAGGAGACAAAGAGCTGCAAACGCAACTTGTTGGTTTGTTGAGTTTTGCTGTTCAAAAGATAGCGCGCTCAAAGGAATCGCAAACGAACAAGGAATTTCGTACATAGGTCTTTCCAAAGATTTGTGCGATCTTTCGGATCCCAACGACATGAACCAAGTCATGATGTGGGCTCATGAAAGAAAAGACCTGGGGGATTCTATTCATTTATGGGGTTCCCTGCCATGCACCGCCTGGTGCTCGTGGCAACACTTGAACCGACGTGTCCTGGACGCTGGTTTTCAGGATGACTTAGTTAATAGGAGGCAGGAATCAAAATTGTTGGTCAGCAACTTCTCTTCTTTGACAGATGTCGCGCTTGAGAGCGGAGGTTCGAGCACGTTTGAGTGGCCTCGTTGGTGCTCAGGTTGGACTGAGGTAGAGGAACTGCAAGATATGATCACAAAGCACAGCATGATTTCTGCATATCCTTGTGGCTGCGCGTTTGACCTAACCATCCATGGAAAGAAACCTCTCAAACCATGGAGGCTTGTGACAACGAATGAACGCGTTGCCGTTGAAATGAACAACAAGGTTTGCAAACATCCCAAGGGGCACAAACACGACCGTCTTGAAGGGGGCAAACTTTCCTATTTGAGCGGGTTCTACAACCGCCCCATGGCCGTTTGAATTTTGTGTTCTCTCTTCCCTGAGAATTTTTTGAAAAATGTTCCCGCAATGCCTACTGTAATCGCAGGAAACGATGAACATATGAACAAAAAGTGGGAAAGAATTGCGGAGCAGTTGAATTCCGGATCTTGTTTGCAACATGCCATGGGTCTTGTGCATAGGGTCCTGACAAGAAAAGAAATTCAAGATGATCCTGAAGCAATCAAAGCTATCGAGGAGGAAGCCTCAGAGGTCAGGGCAATGGGAGTCTGGGATGACTCGACCGCTTGTGAGGTTGATGAACTCAAGCAGTGGGCTAGAAAGGAGCAGCAGGAGATCCACATTGCTGAAGTGATGGCAATTGGATCAATAAAGAATGATGAGTTGGGACCATCGTTGAGCCAACGCAAGGGAAGGTTGGTTTTCCGAGGTGATGACACCCGAAACCAAGACGGTCTCCCAGCTAAGTTTCGAGAGTTGCATTCACAACCTGCTAGCATCCAGACAATTTCCATTGTAATGTTTTATGGCATGCTCGCAAATTGTTGTGTCTTTATCGCAGACGCCAAAAAGGCCGATCTTCAGGCCCTCCTCCGCACCCCCATTCCTACATGGGTAATATTACCCCGAATGTGCTGGTTGCCAGAATGGAGCACACGATTTAGACGTGTCGCAGTGCGGCTCCGCCGCGCTTTATACGGTCATCCAGAGGCTGGTGATGACTGGTTCATCCATTTGTCCCAAATCATGACGAAGGACCTAGGTTTCGTGGGTGTGGAATCATTTCCATCGCTTTGGTGGAATGAGCAAACGCGAGTCCTCGTTGCAGCCTATGTAGACGACATTGTTTGCTCTGGAGGAGTTTCAGAGGTCCAGAATTTTTGGGAACGTTTGAAAAATAAGGTGGAGGTGGGGGGTGTAACAATCCCTGGAAGATTTCTCGGGAGAGATCACAGGATCACTGAAGATCAACATGGTAAGTGGTTGTTCCTGTCAATGCCCAACTATTGTCAACAATCTGTTGATTTGTACACTCATGCTTCTGGGTGTGCAGTTCTAAAGAAAGTATCAACACCATTTTTGAACGAGTCGGAGTTGAACGCCAATGATTGGGAAGTTTCAGGGGCTCTTGGCGACGAGTCAGCATCTGTCGTGATGAAAATGCTATGGCTTGCTCGGTTGAGCAGACCAGACGTATCCCATGCAGTGACGCGACTTGCATCAGGAATCACTAGATGGAGCATCAATCACGACAAAATGCTTTACCGCCTAGCTTGCTATCTAAATTCCACTATCGAGTATGGTGTTCATTGCTTTGTCAAAGGGAATCCTTCCACCATATCTCTTCACTTGTATACTGATGCAGATTTGGGAGGGGACATATGCACCATGAAGTCACACACAGGGATTTACCTTTGCATTGAATGCCCGGACGGCACTTCCTTCCCAATCTCTTGGACGTCCAGACGGCAACAGTGCGTGTCGAAATCAACAACAGAGTCCGAACTTGTGGCGCTCAATAATGATGGTCTTTTCAACGACGCCATCCCAGTACAAACTGTTCTTAACATGGTTTTTGGTCGGGAAATCCCTGTTACAATCCACGAAGACAACCAGGCGTGCATACGCATTTTGCGCGCAGGGTATAGTGCCCGATTGAAATCCTTAAATCGCACGCATAAACTGTCAATTGCCGCGCTCCATGAAACGATCATGGATCTCGGTTTCCAGCTGAGGTACACCGAGTCAGCTGATCAATTAGCTGATGTATTCACTAAGGTGCTTGCTAAGGTGAAATTCCTTGAGGCACTCGCCCGCCTTCACATCGGACTTCCCTAAACAGTTTCCTTTGTTGGAGGTTCGGGGTTTACCTGCGCATTGCGCGGTCCCTGTGCTAAGGACTGAGGACTCTCGCTCCTTTTTTCCATGCTACCTTGCTGGGTCCTACTTGCTCTCCTTTGTTGATATTGCAATTGACTGGCATGTGGCATGGAGCTTGCGTCGGCCAGAGAGCCAGACCTGCGCATTGCGCGGCAAAAGTGAAGGTTGTCCATAAGTTGGTGGGTGGGCTGGGTCCTTGTAAAGAAACGACCCTTAATTCAGAATGTTTTGACTTTTGATTGGCATCTACCAACGTTTCTTACCCGGCTTGAAAGCCCTGAACTTGATTTTGTCCCTACGGAACCCTGGCTGGGGGGGGTTCCACTGGGACAACGGTGATCTTCGTTTGCCTTGTCAAAGCCGGGGGGGGGGACGTGAAACGTTTTGGGTTAAACCCTACATGTACAGTTCACCTACAGGGTATAAAAACCCATGACAAACTTATTTGGCTCAAGACATAAACAAGGTGTGTCTGCTGATTTATTGCTATGCTACCAAATGGTAGGGCTTCATTAAGATTCTATATTACCTCAGGCTCGAGCGTTGCTGTGAAGGAAGGTGCATTTGTTTTGAGCCACAAAAGGTGTATCCTAAAAGACCGGCGGTGCTGAAATCTACGGCCGGTGTTTGCTTGGTTTGATTCAGGTTCATCAGGATGGGCTCGTTTCAAACAACTTCTGGACCGCCCCCCCTTGCAAGAGCTTCGATTTCCCCTGATCCCCCTCAACCGAGAGAATTACACGTTTTATAAGAAGTTGCACAAAGGACAACATTGGCAACAACCGACATCACTGCAACAAACGATGACACCACAACAAAACTATGTAACTATGTAGTAAAGGCCATAAAGCCCATGTCTGCCATGTCTGCAAATGCACATTTGTGGCACGGGCTGCAGACCAGAAGTAGTGTAGAGAGAGAGAGAGAGGCGATTGGAATATCAACTATGAATCGATTGGACGGGACAGGTCCGCGATACTATTTGTCAGACACCGAATCATTGCATATTTACCTACATTGACGCCTGAAACCACCCTCAATGTATGTAAATCTGCATACATGGACTGTTTTGGATAAAGAAGCGGGACGATGCAATCATCCACAACACGACCCTGTCGTGACATCGCCAGAGTTCCATGTTCTTCCACACCGACTCAATTGCTGGCTGCTGCAGGGTGTGGTCAGAAACCTGGGTCGGACACTCCGTCGATGAACAATTTGCAAGCCTCCTACTGAAACTGAATGGTGTTTTTGCCTTTGGGTTGGTGTTACAGAAACTGCAAGTTTCAACCTGGCAGCATATTTGCAACACCAAGATCTTGCATGCTGTCACCCGCCGGGCGCAGGATGAGAGCGCCTCCAGTGAAGCCTCCAGCGAGTCCGCCAGTGATGCCTCAGCTGGCGCGGGCGCCAGTGATGCCTCAGCTGGCTCGGTCTCGGACGAGGGCTCAGGCTCCGAGGAGGAGATCCGGTGGGTGTGATTTGGTGTCTTTGAAGAGGGAGAACCCCCTGTAACATAGGGTCATGGAGGGGCGGGTGAAGCAGGAAGAGGAGTTCTGAATTGGACTCCCAAGTATAGTACCAGAGGTACGAGAGGCACCTAAGAAACAAGCAGGTGTTGATTGCTATAGATAAACCCCCCTAATTAATCCACCCTGCCTGGATGGTTATGGGGAGTTCTATTTTAATAAACAGTCTATACATTCATGCACTTCCTCACCATGGTTAAGTCGGATGCTGGATCCCATGTTCACGGCCAGGACACCCCGAAAGGCGCTTGGGCTTCCTTGGTGGCTCTCTTTGGCTGGTGAGGCCGCTTTTGTGAACCATTCACTTGAGAGGAGAGGAGAGGGTTCTTGAAGCACTTCAAGACGATATTCTCAGATCAAATTCATGTGAATGATCTGGTACAAGTACTATGACTATATGGATTATCTACTGTATATGGTCTGTTTTGGGTGCCGACTCGGCACCATGACGAGAAGAGACGACGGTCGTCGCATGACGAATCCGAACGTCGGCTCGGTCGGAGTGCCGATCCCCCGCTCACGATGGCATGGAAGTGGGCATGGCCACTGGGAGGAGCATGAACTCCACTATAAACAGGTGAACTCCATGTCCGTGCTAGCGAGTATGTCTGTGTCTATGTATCTCGTTCTTTGTGTGGGAGTTTTGTCGTGATGTCCTGGCAATGATGTGCTTTTCTGACTCTTGAAAAAGAGGACGATTGCACAAGGCTGTTCTAGTGGTTTCTGCAGTGGCTGATTTCCTTAGTTCCCTATAGTTCCCTTCTGGGTGGTTCCAAACAGTCTCTACTCCCTGTTGTGCGAAGGGGACAAGAACCATCCCCCCCTCCCGGGCGAAGCTTCACATCGCCCAGAGGCCGGTGAAAGACGCTGGTGAAGCAATTCGTGCATGTGAAATGGTGGGAACCTGGAAGCAGCATGAAGAGGTGTTAGCTAGAACGATCTTCAGGCTTCATGCATCGTTTTTTCATCAACCAGAAGGAAACAGAGTCTTAGTCCTTTCACGTCCAAGAGTTGTTGAGTTTGCTTCTGCTTTGATCAGAGGATTATAGGAAGCGGTTAGCCCCCAATCCACTTCCTGATTCCCGATATATAGAGAATTGTAGAAATACTCCGGATCAATATGGATCCACCTACCATCACCTACCTTTCTACCAATACCAAACGCACCAGAGAGTTTCATTGTGGGCTGCGTGGCGCTGTCTACAGCGGGTGGAGGAGAAAGGTTTGTGGAACGCTGACAAAACCACGATATCGTCGGAGCGTGTGACCCCGTTTCTGTTCGTTTTCGTTTGTTTCCAAGAGCGATGGCCTCCAACCTAAGAGCGATGGCCTCCAACCCAAGACCACGTTTAGAAAGAAACAGACACTGCCCCCCCCCCGGTGACTGTGCTGTGAAACTGGGCGCATTTTCCCTGCACAGTGTGACCAAGTTGGTGCGTCGGGTTCCTGCGAGTTGGATGTCGAGGGATTCTGCGGTCGAATTCAGCGGATGAATTCCAAAAACGAGATGGGGCCGATCGATGTTTTTGTTTTGCTATCCTTTGTTGCCCGCGGATTCTAGATCCAGATCACAGAAGATCACAGATAAGTTAATTACTCTTTCCTTGTGGTAGCGCTGATGAGGACCCGTCAGGTTCGCTTGAATCATTTAAGCAAGCTACACATACCTGGCATCCGCTTTCTTTTCAAATCTTTTCAATGTAGCTGGAAGCCGTTGGATTTTATATATGGACGAAGGATTTGAGGGTTTTTTCTCAAACAGCTTTTTGCTGAACTGTAAAACCAGGAAAAAAACAACAGATCATGGACTGCCGTGAAACTGATGAGGATTTGCTTCTGAAGTGACTTGTGGATGGGTGGTGACCCACCATGTTCGCCCGACCAGTTCATCGTTCGCCAACGACCGTCAGGTCGGTAGGTCAACCAAGGTATCCTAGTTTTGCTTCAGTACCTTCTGCTGATCCCTGACACCAGCGTAGCTGGTGGCCACAGTGGCGGCTTGCTGCGCAAATCGCGAGCTCGAGATCTCGAGCGCGATCTGGAATACAGCTCGAGTGGTGACGCCCTAGCAAGCGAACAAGGGAAACACAAGGATGATAAAGGAGAATTGGATAGATTTATTCAAGTGGAGTTACTTTACCTGTTTGTTGAACAACTATGGATTGCTAGAATTTTGCTAGAGCATTCCTTTCTAGAACCACCAGTAAAGAATGGCTTGTCAACCCCCCCAGCAAAAACAAGTAAAGCAGACATGTGCAAACATTGTAGATCAGTGATGAACCTCTCCACTCTCCACTCCAACCATTTTCACTATATTATATATGTTCAGAGCCTCCAGTTCCACACTGCAAGAACCATTCTAGACTCATTTAAACAGGTCAACCAGACACAGTCTGTTTTGACTGAAGTCACTTCTTGAACAACCTGAGAGCTCCTGCGGCAGAACATCCAGAGAAGATTTCCGCAAGAGGACTGCCCCTTTGCCTCTCAACACCTATGTCATATTTCTGCCGGACACATAGATCCTTCAGAATTGTTATATAGACTCTAATGTAGACTCTTCAATCCAAAAGACTCCAATGAAGAGGTTGTTCAATCCAAATGCGTGGGGAGTGAAGTTAATCAAGAGTCTAGATATGTCTACATTGTTTGCTTTCTGCCTTTGGAGGACCCAAGCGGGGTTGGCCCCATTTGGCCTATGCTGAGCAGTCCTAAACTTGCTGAGGCACCAGGACATCACCACTTTGGAATGGTTTGGCCGAGGAACAACGGATTCTGATCATTGACAATCCTAATCGGCACACCAACAAGTTGTTGATGAATGAAACCCTTCGATGTGTCTCAGATGTCAACCTCCTGTGCGTCCTGATGGTTTCTTGATGTTTGCCTTTGGTGCAAAAAACACACGTGTTCCAGTTCCATTTCATGCTCCTCGCAGTGCAAGCTGGGCGTCAACCAGGCTGCAAAGATTGGCTCAGAGCTCTTAGTTCCGGCCATGGGCGAGGTTGAGGGTGGACCTCTTCCAAAGAAAGAACAAAGCAAGAAATAAATAAAGAAAGAAAGGACACCAAGCCAGTAAACACTTGAGGTGAAAACATCAAGTAGATTGCAACCCTCTAGTAGACAAAAAAAGAGAACTTTCATGAATCTTCCTCAGTTTCAACCCCCCAGTTGCCTTTGAGATCGTTTGTTTTTCTGCATTTAGATCATATGCCATCCCCGTGTTTACATCCATTGCCATTTGTATCAACCAAAGGACCGGTCGGACCAGTCGGATCGGCAATCCGCTCTACTTCCGCTCAGCGGAGAGGGTTCGCTCGGTCGGAACCCGCTCACTGGGTAACCTGCAACACCTTTTGGGGGGATTGGTTGCTCCACTCAAAACCAACCGGTGGAAGGGTTCGGTTCACGATCTTTCAGGGACTGGAAGTGAATGGAGCCCTTTGCTTTTGGATGCCTTGCGGCACCCTCCGTTGCTGTGACCGGAAGTGAATGTTGATAGCTCAAGAAGCTCGCACTGGCAGTGACAGGTCAGTTGTACGAAGAGCAGTGGCTGACCGTCTGGATTCAGTGCGCTATTCTCATTGATTCTCTAAGTTGATAGGGCATGATAGGGCCTATAGGGGATGATAGTTGATGATAGGGTGGATCTCACAGATCAAGCTGTTTGATGGCTTTTTGACCTACCACTTTTCCCATTTGTTTTCCGATTTTTGAGTAGATGGGAGGCAACCAGAGAGCTGATGGGCTTTGCCCATCGGTGGCGGTACCAGAAAAGACAACATCGACGCAATCTACACACAATCACTGGCGACTCTTGATTAACAAGCTCCCCTTAAGCGCGATGGGTAGAAGAGGTTTTTTCAATCCAATTGGGGGAGGCTATTAGTCAAGAGTCTACATTACATTAGTTCATGGCCTAAACAGTCCATGACCTGAAAAAGCACAAACGGTCCACGCACGGCATATTTTCACTAGACTGGTTTCAGTCAGGGGTCAATGTATGGAGGCATATATATATATGGTACCTGGTACCCCCTCCCAAAAAAGACCTTTCATAAAAACTACTGGTATTTGCAGAGTTTTAGGCATATTTTTGTGTATAAAAATCATCTATCAAAAAAATAAGGTACGTCACAATTAAGAAAAACACATCACATGAAAGGACACACATAGAAAATCACAAGATATCCCCAATGACAAAAAGCAACAAACTAACAAACCAAACAAACAAAAATCACAAAAAACAAACAACAAAAACACAAGAAACAAACAGACAAAACTTTGAGGATAGTTTTTGGTTCAGCCTATCTTTTTTGGTATTCCTTGTGGTGTTTTTGTTTTATTGTTTTGAAAGGCAAAAACAAAAAAGTTTTTATTTGTTTTTTGTTAAACATATTCATGCAAAAGAGCAAACAATCACAGAATGTTTTTTGTTTTTTGATGATTTGGTATCAGTAAAACCAAATATCACATACTAAGAAACCAAAAAACATTGTGTTTTTTGGTTTTTGATAGGATTCTTCAACCATAAGCCCCCAAAAAACAAACAAACACAAGGTGTTTTTTTTTTTTTTTTTCGCTTTCAAAACCAAAAAGGACTAGAAAAATACGAGGAAAACCAACACAAAGTCTCCTCAACCTTTTGCTTTTTGGTGTTGTTTGTGTGTTGGTCCATTGGGCTTTGGTATTCAAAAGTGTAAGTGAAGCAAATGGACTATTAAGCTGAATATGGAGGACGATTACACAAAATTAGTGATGTAGAAGTACATGAAGAAAATGAAGAACAAGAAATCAAACAAAGCTACTACATACTTGATTTAAGGGACACGACAAGGTTAAGAAATGTATTTAGATATAATATATATAACTAATTGCCATTACAGCATGACAACTTCAAAATGAATGAAGCATACTATAGACTAATCAGAAATTGTATTCCAGTTTAGAGTGTTCAAACTGATGCATTTGTCATTCATACCCTTGATTTAGACAAAGCAAGGGAGCTTGTAGAAGTCCACAATGATATAGGAGGATGGAGAGCAGGTAAAAAACACTGAAGATACTATATTACCCACTGTAAATTATGAGATTGTAGAGAATGCACATGTTGAAATCCAAACAGGAAAATAACGGTAATAATGTAGAAGATGATGAACATGACACTGATAACATAATAGAAGAGATTACATCAACTAATCCTATGATGATTAGGGGTGAATTACCGGGCACTGGTAAAAAATTATTTGCGCCAAAACATGATAGAACATGTTATAATTTGATTTTTGTATGTCCTACTAATAAGTTACTTCAAGCTTTTGAAGGTGATGCTTTGACTGTAAATCAATTCTTTGGTATAAACTTTGGTGATGCCGAGTTAGAACCATGTGATTATTCAGATTATGATGTATATAGTAGTTTTTGATGAGTTTATTTTTGTAGTTTGTACACATACTGGAGAATTACATAGTTTGTTGAACAGAACCAGGATAGCAAAATCATCCCGCCGGGCTCGTTTCCGCGCGTGTGGTTGCAGACGTTTGCCAGATCTTCACGTGGTCAACAATGATGAATATCCCCTGTGTCACTGTGTTTCGCATTGATGTGAACGGTTTGTTGCAGCATGTAGTACATGAAAACAATGAAAGAATCGTTGCGATGTTCACATCCAAGTGCTGCGAAACCGTACATCCTCCAGCATCATCATTACAGTCGGTCCGACAACTTATGACCCAGATTCGTCAGAAGATCGTCTTTATTCTGGTGCCAACGCCAACACGGCGAACAAAACTCAAAATCTGGTGAACATCCTGTCCAGATTCATGATTCATGTTGTCACAACGTTGCCTTTAGCCCCCCCACCCAACCCCCCCTTGTGTTTTGTAGGGTCCTAGGTTCCCCTAGGCGTGTCTACGCTATACACGTGT